GAATGTTTTCTTGTTATCCTTTATGGCTATAGCTAGTTTGATCTTGTTTTGTGCTTTGGCCTTTCTAATTTTGTCCCTATATACTTGTGTTATTTGTTTTTATTCATCCTTTGTAATTTGACCTAGTTTCCACTTTTTATAGGACTCTTTTTTTTATTTTTAGATCATGGAGGATCTCCTGGTTAAGCCAGGTTGGTCTCTTGCCAAACTTTCTATCTTTCCTATACAGTGGAATAGTTTGCTCTTGTGCCCTTAATAACGTCTCTTTGAAAAACTGCCAACTGTCAATTGTTTTTCCCCTTAGACTTGCTTCCTATGGGATCTTACCTACCAACTCCCCGAGTTTGCTAAAGTCTGTCTTCTTGAAATCCATTGTCTTTATTTTACTGTTCTCCCTCCTACCGTTCCTTAGAATCATGAACTCTACAATTTCATGAACAACAAGGAGTCTGGTGGCACCTTAAAGACTAACAGATTTATTTGGGCATGAGCTTTCGTGAGTAAAAACCTCACTTCTTCGGATACCATTTCATGATCACTTTCATCCAAGCTGCCTTCCAATTTCAAATTCTCAACCAATTCCTCCCTATTTGTCAAAATCAAATCTAGAACAGCCTCTCCCCTAGTTGCTTTCTCCACCTTCTGAAATAAAAAAATTATCTCCAATACATTCCAAGAGCTTGTTGGATAATCTGTGCCCTGCTGTGTTATTTTCCCAGCAGATGTCTGAGTAGTTGAAGTCCCATATCACCACCAAGTCCTGTGCTTTGGATGAGTTTGTGTTAGTTGTTTAAAAAAAGCCCATCCGCCTCTTCTTCCTGGTCAGGTGGTCTGTAGTAAACCCCTAACATGACATCACCCTTGTTTTTACCCTTACTCAGAGACTTTCAGCAAATCTGTCTCCTATTTCCATCTCAACCTCAGTCCAAGTGTATACATTTTTAATATATTAGGCAACACCTCCTCCCTTTTTTCCCGGCCTGTCCTCCCTGAGCAAGCTGTAGCCTTCTATACCAATATTCCAGTCATGCGTATTCTCCCACCAAATCTCTGTGATGCCAACTATGTCATAGTTGTGTTTATTTACTAGCATTTTGAGTTCTTGCTGCTTATTCCCCATACTTCTCACATTAGTATACAGACATCTAATATACTGATTTGATTCCCCCTGCCCCAGTTCTGTCTTGTCTCTCCCTTACCCCTGCTATAACAGCCCATGCCCCCCCAAATTCTGACCCTTCTCCCAGGTCTACCAGCTGGAACTGAACCAGTGGTAACACCAATAGGACATTTGAGAAAGGAATGTGTATGCAAGCCCATAAAGAGTTTGATCGTGCTCCCTTTGACATCACTGGAACTTTAGGCTGTGACTGCAGTTGGAGCTGGTCCAGGTCCAAATAGAAGTTAAAATTTTTAAACTGGAAGGATGATCAAATAATGTCCGCACTGTGGATGCCAGTGATAGGAATATCTCTTCATCCCACTTGTATAGATTTTGTTGTAAACAAACTTATTAAACATACTCTAGATCAGGGGTGGGCAAACTACGGCCCGGAGGCCGCATCCGGCCCTTCAGACGTTTTAATCTAGTCCTTGAGTTCCCGCCAGGGAGTGGGGTCGAGGGCTTGCCCCACTCCGCGCAGCTCCTGGAAGAAGCGGCATGTCCCCCTCTCTGGCTCCTACGTGTAGGGACAGCCGGGGACTCTGCACGCTGTCCCTGTCCCAAGCGCTGCCCCCACAGCTCCAATTAGCCAGGAACCATGGCCAATGGGAGCTGCAGGGGCAACGCCTGTGGATGGGGCACTGTGCAGAACCGCCTGGCTGTGCCTCCGTGTAAGTGCCGGAGGGGGACATGCCGCTGCTTCCAGGAGCTGCTTGAGGTAAACGTCACCCAGCACCTGCACCCCGATCCCCCCTGTGTCCCAACCCCCTGATCCCCCTCCAAACCCCTCGGTCTCAGCCCCAGAGCACCCTCCTGCATCCCCAACTCCTCATTCCCAGCCCCACCCCAGAGCCTGCACCTCCAGCTGGAGCCCTGACACCCCCCCGCACCCTAACCCCCAATTTTGTGAGCCTTCATAGGCCGCCATACAATTTCCATACACAGATGTGGACCTCGGGCCAAAAGTTTGCCCACCCCTGCTCTAGACAAACATAGGAACAACAGCAACAGAGGGTCCTGTGGCACCTTTAAGACTAACAGAAGTATTGGGAGCATAAGCTTTCATGGGTAAGAACCTCACTTCTTCAGATGCAAGGTAAGCATCTTACCCACGAAAGCTTATGCTCCCAATAGTTCTGTTAGTCTTAAAGGTGCCACAGGACCCTCTGTTGCTTTTTACAGATTCAGACTAACATGGCTACCTCTCTGAATAGGAACAACAGTAGTAACTAATGGCAGATAGTCTTTTTCTATACATAAAGACACAAAACACAGAGCTCAGAGTCACATGCACTAGCCAACAGGCAAGAAAAAAAAATCACATTCATTAAATATGATTAGATAGACTACAAGGACTATGAATGTAAGGCACAATGTTGGTCCTGTGGGTAGGAGACAGGGCTGAAATCAGGAGGCCTGTGTTCTAGTCCTGTCTCTGCCATAGACTCACTGTATGATCATAAACAAACCAGTTAACTTCTCTGTTCTTCAATTAGTGACACATATCCACCTTTATAAACTGCTTTGGGTATACAGCTGGCAAGTGCTAAGTAGTAGTATTAGGATAGCACTTACCTGACCTGGACCATATATGTAATTATTCCACATTCTCTAACACCAGAATTACTCAACCTATTAAACACCTTTACTCAGATATCAATTAACTCAATGGGAATTTGGGGTACGCAAGAAATGCAGTAATGGGGCCTATTTTATTAACACTAACGACATGTTCAGAGGTACAGAAATTGAGATGCAGTTAAGCAATTGTGTCACAGTTAATTTCCTGGGACAGGCTTCTAATCTTACCTAGTGCAATTTACACCATTGTAAATCAGGAATAAAGCCACTGAAGTAAGCAGGGTCATACCAGTATGAAACTGCCCATATTCTAATTAAATTACTAGTTAGGACTTAAAATGAGACAAAATTAGAGAACCAATAAAAGATAATGGCGAAATACAGGTTGTGTTAGGTGAAACTGAATGAATAAAGCAACCATGGGGAAGGACACACCAGGAAAATGGAAAAATTATATATGTCCCAGGTTAAGTGTGCTATCTAGCAATAAACCGAGTAGAATAAAAAAGGCTAAAGTGGATAAATATAAAAGTGCAAAAAGTTCTTTAACATAAATTAGAGGTATCTGCAAAAATTAAGGGCCCAATTGCATTTCCACTGAAGTCAATGTGATTGTTAAGTCCATAGGCATATGACTCATCAGAGCGGACACAAAATAAAATTAGGAGGCATGATAAGGAAATTGAAAATGGAGAATTAAAATATAAAATAATAAATGGCATAAGGGAGGTCTATTAAGTGCTCCAATTTATTCTCATTCATAATAAAATAAATGTAACTGAAAGGCAACAAATTTAAAACTGGTAAACACGTTTAACACAACATATAAAATTACCAGTGGAACTAGTTGGATTGTGTCCTAAGAACTAAGTAATACTGTAAAAAAGTATAAGACATTTATATGACTAATGAGAACATCCACAATTACTTTAGATAGGATAAACAAAATTATAGGGGATAAAAAAACATATGCTTAAGGTTGTAAATCAACTACTAACTGGTATAGGAGGATTAGGAGGAAAGTTCTATAGGTAGATTATTCCATAGCAGTTCATTATAGGGGGTTTTGCACCTTTCTCTGGCAGAGACAAGGTACTGGATTAGACAGACTGGTCTGATCAATATAGCAATTCCTATGTTCCTCTATTCTTAGGGATGGTTTACTGACTGAAGAGGTAGATGATGCTTAAAAAAAAAAAATTCTTTACTCCAGTCTTTGAAAGGCAAATGTATGATGGATATCAAAATCAGCCAGGAATATTGCTGGGGAAGAAGGAAATACTGAACAAATTGGGATTATAGTAGATGAATTAAAATTATCTAAAGACTGACAAAATTCCAGGACCGGATAGTAGCCATAGAGGAATTCTGAAGAAACTGGCAAAAGAAATGAGTGAAGTCACAATAAATATAATTAAAATATATCTGGAAAAATAAGGTACTTATAAACTAAAAAAAATCTAATGTAATATCTACATGCAAGAAGGTATCAATAAAATATCCAGGAAGTTATCAATATGATTTATTTTTACAAATCACATATATTTTTGTTGCATTTTATTTGTAATTTTAAAAAATCATTAACTTGTGGGGCAGATTTATTTACTTATTTATTTTATTTACATTTTTACAGTACTTAAGCTGTAGTTGCACATGAGTTATAGATGATCTTAAAAAAATATGTCTCAAAATGCCAAAAGCAGTTCAACTGTAATAGGGGCTAATTGCTGGCCAAATGTAATTACTTAAAATCCAAACTATTATATACCAATATATAAAAGGATTCAAAACTGGAAAATGTATTGAAAAGAAATTAACTGCATAATAAGACATCTATTCATTGGATAAACACTATATGGTTAACATTTGAAAATGTATTTCATTAAGGATGTTTCACTTATATTAATTATGGGATGTTTTATTTTTGTCAAATTCAATAATTTGAAAGTATATACATTTGAATATACATGGAGCATATAGCTACAGCAGTCTAGGTCCTTATATCTTATACTATTGCTGTAGTTTCAAAATTCATTGCAAATACTAATACATTTTTCCTCACAATACCCGGGTAGGGAAACATTCTTCCCATTTTACAGATAGGTAAATCAGACACGGGTAGGTTAAGTGTGACTTCCCACAGGTAACACAGGAAGTCTGTGATAGAGGTAGAAATTGAACCCAGCTGTTCCCAGTCCTAGGGCAGTATTTTAACCATGGGATTCTGTTTGGCTTTACTGGTGTTAATCTGGAGTAGTTCGACTGACGTGCAGTGACACAGGGGCATAACTGAGAGCAGAATTTGACCCCCTAAATGTAACCCTGAGTTACAATATAACATTTACCTTGTAGAGCATTTGTTTTGAAATGTCACATACGTTTTGCCTCCTTATAAAACAATGTTTAAAAACTGGTCAACTTTGATTCTGGCACAATTTAAAAGCAAAACTCTAATCTAATATTTAAAGAGAAACCAACTCCGTCTTGGTTTTGCCTGGGGATGGGGAGTCGAATTTCAAAGTGGACCAAGGGTTGAAAGCCGGGCTGAGTTACACAAGTGAAGAAGGTGCCTCCGGGGGTCCCAATACTAAAGCTTGCGCGGGATCAGTTAGTTGCGGGTCCGATGCTAGATGTCACCGTCCCTCACCCTGCCTAGCAAAACACAACCTCTCTGCGTTTACCCGCCGAGGCAGCCCCGGCGCATGTAGAACAGCAGCAGCAACTCCTATCTCGTGTCTTCAACGTGAACTGTGGAAAGGGTCACAGGCGGGGTGAGGGAGGCGGCTGAGAGCCCAGCAAGGGGGAGGAACGGAAGCTAAGCAGGACTTTCTCCCAGCCCCTGCCAGACCCACCCTGCCTCGCCCCCTCTTGCTCCCGGACCTTCATCCCCGCCCCACTCCAGGGGGCAGCGCGCGGCCAGGATCTGGGGGACAAGGGGAAGAGCCGCCCGCTGGCCTCAGGTGCTCGGCGGGGCCGCCTTGCTGCTGGCGTGGGGGAGCCGGGAGAGGCGGCGCCAGCTCCCGCCCCTGCGCGGAGCCGGGAGAGGGGGACCCAATCGCTCGCTCGCGGGCTCCAGCAGGCACCTGCCGCCAGCCAGCCGGGATCAGGCTGCAGCACCCGGCGGGGCGGCCCCTCCCAGCAGCAGCCGCTGCCGTGTCCGCCTTTGCTGGGACCTTCGGAGCCAGCCGCCAAGTTGAAGCCCGGCGCTGTGCACGGGGCGTCCGTGGTGGGGCAGGCGCCTGAGCTCCCGGCTGATGCATCCACCAGCAGCAGTTTTTCCCCAGGTACCGTCTAGTGCAGAGTGGGAGGGAGGGAAGGAAGGAAGGGGGGGTGAGGTTTCCCCTGGGCCAGGATGAAGTTTGTGTGATGGGCATTAGGAGCCCCTGATCTCAGTGGGTGGGGGCTGCAGGATGGATTCCAGCCGTGCCCAAATCATTGCTCCCGGCGCGGGAATCGCAGCGCTCCTACGGCTTCTCTCTGCCCGGCAGCGCGTGTGCCGGGGCAGGGGGGCTGGCGGCAGGGGGGTGCCCGCCTGCTGGTGGCTGGGCGCGGTGGCAGGAACTTTCTGTGCCCCTGGAGCCTTTTCTCTCGCCTCCCGTCTTTCCGGGCTGCTCGCTAATAGCCTCCATGGCTGGGAGCAGCGAGCACTGCAGGGGGCCTCCTAGCCCCCGTTAGATTTCTGAGCCGAAAGGAGTCAGAAACTTCAATCAAGTGTGTGTGTCTGTGTGGTGGGGGGTTCCCCGCCCCCTCCCGGTTGTTTTATGGAGCACGAGCAAAGCGCGGCTGTTTGGACGCCAAATCGCATTTGGTCCATCCCCTGGGTTGCCCTTCGAGTTGGCAGATCAAGGCGCGGGTGAGCTGAAAACCCACAATAACGCTCTCCTCAGAGCGTCTGCCTAGCGCTGGGGCACGGCCAGAGAGCAGGCAGAGCCCAGCCGCCTCCTGCTCTGCCCCGGGCCAAACCAGGGGCGCCAGCAGCAGCACCCAGAGTCCGGTCAGGTTTTCCCTTCTGGCCTTTTGGGGGGTATCGCCTCTAAGCAGTTCTTCTGCCTCCTCCCTAGGGCTGCAAGGCATAGGTGCTGGAACTAGGGGTGCTGCCACACCCCCTGGCTTGCAGTGGTTTCCATTATATACAGGGTTTTGGTTCAATGGCTCTGAGCACCCTTGCTGCCAGGGGAAGTTTATAGGGGCACAACATAATACCCAGCCACAGAGTCCACTCAAAACCTGTCCAGGGGGTAAAGTGCTAAGACGCCTTTGAGTTGCTCTTCGAGGGTTTGCTGATGGTGGGAGCTCTGATGTGCGGCTTCCCTGGCACTCTTTGCATGCCCACTGCAATGCTGGATTCTTTTCCTTTTCTGGTATATTCATCTCTTTTGTTGTTGATGCATTTTTTTTAATAGGAATGTAAACAGATGTATATTTAAATTCAAACAAAATGTATTGGAAATGAGTGGGGTCTCCATTTCCATGTGTCTTTTGGTTGATGGAATCTCATATAAATCAGAGAGCCTTAGCTGCTGTGCACTATGTTTTCCACCTGCAATTAGTGCGGTTTTAAGTTCATTATTTTACATAAAATGATGTATGTATTAGTTGATAAATTAGAAATCAACTGGCCCCATTGAACACCTTGTTCACCGTGTTGTCTATATTATCTTAATTGCAGATCTTTCCTTTCCCTTGAGGATCTATGACTTTTAACTCCCTTATGATGCCTGATGTTAAAACCTCATTTGAAGTTTAAGTGGTAAATAGGGTTGCCAACTTTCTACTGGCAGAAAACGCGAACATCCTTGCCCCACCCTAGGCCACCCCTTATCCGAGGCCCCACCCCTGCTCACTCCATCACCCTCCTCCCTCTGTTGCTCGCTTTCCCCCACCCTCAATCACTCACTCATTTTAACTGGGAGTTGGGGTGTGGGTGAGGGCTCTGGCTGGGGGTGTGGGCTCTTGGGTGGGGCCATAAATAAGGGGTTCAGGGTGCAGGAGGGGGTTCCAGTCTAGGGAGGAGGTTGCGGTGTGGGGGGGGGGTGAGGGCTCTGGCTGGGGTGGGGGCTCTTGGGTGGTGCCGGGGATGGGTTTGGGGTACAGGAGGGGGCTCTGGGTGGGGACCGAGGGCTTCAGAGTGCAGGAGGGGGTGCGGGCTCTGGGAGGGAGTTTGGGTGCAGGAGGGGGCTCAGGGCTGGGGCAGGGGGTTGGGGTGCAGGAGGGGGTGCAGGGTGCAGGCTCCAGGCTGTGCTTACCTCAGGTTCCTGGCCAATGGGAGCTGCAGATCCAGTGCTCGGGCAGGGACAGCGTGCGGAGCCCCCATGGCCGTCTCTGTGCCTAGGAGCTTGAGAGACATGCCGTCCACTTCCGGGAACTGCTGGAGCTGGGCAGGCACCCTGCCTGCCCTGCTGTTGGCGGCCAACCGGACTTTTAAGGGCCCGGTCAGCAGTGCTCGCCAGAGCCCCTTTTCGACCGTGCATTCCAGTCGAAACCCGGACGCCTGGGAACCCTAGTGATAAACTGTAAATACCTGGAAAGCTTTGGTGACTTTAAGAGTTTGCTCTTGCACAATTGGAATCACATAGGTCAGCTATTTGTTAACTCTTTGAGTGTAATTTATTTCACTAGCACTCTGTTCTAATCGTAAAATCTGTTTTTATCACTCTGTAACTGAAATGAAGCTTCTATACCTTGGCATGCAACTACATGGGGTCAAATTCTATCATTTTTACTCAGGCAAAACTCCCATTGAATTCAAGAGAGTTTTACCCCAAGGTATCACTAAACTTGAATGTTTAATCATACTTAATAACTTGTTAACTAATACGATTGTAAATTCTAGTGAAGACACCACACAAATGTTTGTTCCAGGAGACAGATGTGAGTTGCTAGTCATGTTTAAGCCTACCTTCGTGTCCTGTCTACCAAAGAATTTACAGTTCTGTTAGTTAATGTGTTAATATATTACTAACACGTCAGTTGTTGATATGCCCTCCATAAGATCAGCCCCCTAAATTGAGAATGAAAATCAATATTGATAGAGGTGCACGCAGTTTAGCTGTACTGTGTTCAGCACCAGTTCCAAAACTGTGGTTAAGACTTGCTCTGAGGAAGAAGTCCCTTGTTCATAAGGCCCTTTGCCAACCTCCGTAAGTTACTTTCTGAAGAAGTGGGCTCTCATTTTGGTGCAGTGTTTGTTCTGGAGTTGCTGTTGCAAGTGGGACTTCGTTTAGGTGATCCCTCACTCCTTTTAGCTCTGCAGGGGAAGATTGGCAGAGTCCACTAAGAAATGGTAAACACCACCTGAATTACATATGGAAACATTTTTAGTACATCCTAAAGCACCAAAGTTAGTCCAGCAAGAGATGTATTTTTCCATTCTGTTTATCTAGTCCAGGAAACTACTGTGGTTCTGAAGTGGCTTAAAAGTGACCCCCCAAAGGGAAAAAAAAGTCTATGCTTTTTTTGCTTCTTTATAAAGGCATGTAAGATATTTCTTCTGCTTGGGTTTTGAATTAGAAATTGAAGCAGCATCTCTCCTGTTTTTTCTGGAAGACGCAAGGGCTAGTAGAACTATGATATTAAAGAAAACATGGAAATGAAACTCAGATGGGAGGTGATCTTTGTTCAGACAGTTAAAAACTGTGGGTTTTTTGTTTGGTTTTGTTAAAGTTTGTATAACTCAAACAAGTAAAATAGCTGGAAGAAAAGCTCTTGTTGGATATTCAACACTTCCACCTCTCCTAGTAAAGTCTGAAAAGGTCCCAATTCACATGTTTTGGTTCATGAAGAAAGATTTCCAGCAACACAGGAAATATAGACTTGATATTGATAATGTAAAGAACAAGTGGGGGATGGGGGAGGGAGGGAATCCCACAAGATTGTCCTGTACATCATGAGGGGAAAAGGGGAGGGCAGAAAACGGGAACAAACACAATTATTTTTTCCAGGACACTATTAAAGATGTGTACACAGATTTTCTGATTGTCTCATCAACATGTCAACCATTGTGAATAATCCCCAAGTAAGATTCTTATCACTTTACAAATTATTTCAATATCCCCACATATTTTCAGGCTGTGCATATCTAAGGCATTATTGCACTTGTAAGGTGATTAAAGTCATTTGGCCTTGAGTGTCTCGTCTTGGGTTTAATAATACATCCAGAGAGTGCTGCAATAACTGTCCGTAAATGTCTGTCATATCTTGTGGCTTAATTATGAAACGGTTTTAAAACTCTGCACACGAACAGAACTTTTGGCTCAGCTTTTCAGATGTGATACCTCTGTGAATAATCCTTATGAAGGGCCAGATCCTAGAACTGAATACATGTGGGCAAACCCCCCATATCCGGGTGGATTCAGTTGTAGGAACTAGCCCTAAATATATGGCTCCAGCATTTTTTCCTCGTTAGAGTACTGCCCAGTTCACAATAGCAGTCCATTTTGAGAGAACTGTTACACTTCCTGAGCGCACACGTTGCTTGAGAAGACTTATAATGCTTTTGTCATGCTTCTCAGACTTCCCTGCTTATGTGTGTTGAGTCCTGGGGGATATTGCCTCAATACCTCACCAGGACTTTAGAATTGTCAAAGAAGAAACTGCCAGTGAGTCACCTTGATACTCTGCCTCTAGTGAGAGGGGAGCAACAGGACTCCCCGCAGGGAGTCTAGGCGGCAGCCTGAGCTGGGAGCCTGGGTGGCAGCCTGGAGATTGGGCACCAGCTGGGGAGCTGGCTTTCTTGTCAATTTCATGGCTCCACTGACCATAGGTGCCGACTCAATTTTTCCCTGGGGAAAAATTAGGAGGTGCTCCACACCCAGCGGCAGCCAAGCTGCCTCCTCCTCCTTCCCCCTCTCTTGAGTGCACCGTGTCCCCACTCCTCCCCCTCCGTCGCAGTGCTTCCAGCCCCCCTGCCGCCTAACAGCTGTTTGGCGGTGCTTAGGACTTTCCAGGAGGGAGGGGGAGGAGCGGGGATGCTGCGTGCTCAGGGGAGGAGGCTAGAAAAGACAGGGCAGGGGCGGGGACTTGGGGGAAGGGGGTGAAATGGGGGCAGGAAGGGATGGGGCTGGGGTAGGAAAGGGCGGGGTGAGGCAGGGACTTTGGGGAAGAGGTGGAATGGGGGTGGGGCGAGGGCGGTGCAGGGGCAGGAAAAGGCTGGACAGGGGTGGGGACCCACCGGGCAGAGGGGAAGTCGGCGCCTATGCCACTGACAGCAGGTAGATGTAAGTAATGCTACAAGGAGGCTGCATTGCCCTAGCTACACCGATATAAGCCCTACGCCTCTCCTGGA